AGCAGTGGGCATGGCTTCCAGGTTATGCTATTTTTGAGGGACCGCGTTTGTTCCAACCTTGATAGTGCAGATTATCAGTCTCTGCAGTGCCTCCTTTCCCTGGTCCCTGGAATAAATTAGCCTGAGTGCTGCAATGCAGTTTCCATGCCAGCACCACTTAAACCATGTCTGTAATGCTGGCACTCAGGCAGGAGGATCAGAGGTTCAAGGTCATCCGCAGCTGCATAGTTTGAGGCTAGTCCGGGCTGAGACATTGCCCAGCGAAACAAACAAAGCATTAGCTCACAGGGCCAGTGCTCATTTGAACTGCTTGGCATCCTAATGAACTCTCCTCCCCTTCTAGAGACATTTGAGGTGTCTGAGTTACAGTTTATGTCAGAGACCTTGGCTCCAAGAAAGGGAGAGACTCAGAAAGGTATTGAAAGAAATGTCATTTAAAATGAAAAGAAGGGGACTTTTGATGAGGAAATGATGGGGCAAGGATCCTGGGGACAGAGAGGGGGCCAGTGTCCTGCTATGGAAACAGGAAGCAGCCTGAGGAGGGGAGCATGTGCTGGCGTTCTGATGGGGACCTCGTGCAGCACTGGGATTTCCTGGGGATTTTTCTTCTAAGATAGGTCCAGGGTCTCCGCCCACAGTGGTGGAATTGGAATATTTGGGGCAGGGCTCACAGCTCAGTGTTCCTGAAAAACAGCATTAAGTGAAGTGCAGGCAGAATTTAAAAGGAAAGTGTCTGTGCATCATGTATTTATCATGCTTTGCCTTGTGTTTGCTTTTGTGTTTTGAGGCACTGTCCTGCATATATAGCTCTGGCTGGCTTGTACTTTCTCTGGCTAGCCTTGGACTTTTGGCATTTCCTCTCTACAGTCTCCTTAAAGTTGGATTTACATATGTGTGCAGAGTATCACAGTGCTGGAGTTACATACATGTGCAGATAACCACAGTGCGGGAGTTACACATGTGCATTTAGCCCCAGTGCTGGAGTTACATATATGTGCAGATAACCACAGTGCGGGAGTTACATGTGTGTGCAGATTACTACATCTGGTGTGGAAGATCATATGCTTTCCTTTGGTTAAGGTTTTGTGTTCATGACCTGCAGCTCGTGTTAGTAGGTATTGACCTTGAATGCCTGGTCTTGCTGCCTCCATAGCCTGAGTGCTAAGATCACAGGTGTGTGCCACCATTCCTGACAAGGAAAAGAATATTGTTAATGTGTAGTAATCTTGTATTGGAAATAATCGCTAATCCACCAAAACCATGGCAAATGTTCTGAGATACCAAAAGCCTCGCTTGAGGGTTTCCTGCTCAAATGAGGTAAGGTGAAGCCTCAGTGTGGTGGCATTGGAAGAGAACAGACGTATTTTAGGATGGGGTGGGCATGGGTTTTAAAGCCATCTTTAAGTTCTACCTCTGCAGCATACCCCACATCTTCTTTAGGTAAACCCAACCCACACATACATAAACAACATACCCAGTAACACACACACACATACGAGTGTGTGTACCCCCATAATCTCAGTAGAGTTAGGAGTTCCCTGACAGTCTAAACAAATTTGATACCAGTCTGCCTGGGTTACATGAAACTAGCCAATAACATACGTAAATTTGTAAACAAACGTACAATGTGGGTAGAGTAGAGCATGTGGAAAAGAGATCAAGAAAGGCCAAATATAAGGGGCCCAGGAAGGACTGGGTGCAGGGAATGGATATGAGTTATTAAAGAGCATATAAAGGCAAATTATTTTTCTAGTTCTGTCATTAATTGTTTTATTTTGGTTGCAGGTAAGTGTATTAAAGTGTATTTAAAACTAACAGTGTAAATCAAATGTGAATTCAGAATGGCTAGATGTCTGGACTTCTGGTCTGGTTAATTTCAGTGTGATGGTGTGTGTATTGACTGTTAATCCCAGACTTCTGGTCTGGTTAATTTCAGTGTGATGGTGTGTGTATTGACTGTTAATCCCAGACTTCTGGTCTGGTTAATTTCAGTGTGATGGTGTGTGTATTGACTGTTAATCCCAGAATTCTGGTCTGGTTAATTTCAGTGTGATGGTGTGTGTATTGACTGTTAATCCCAGAATTCTGGTCTGGTTAATTTCAGTGTGATGGTGTGTGTATTGACTGTTAATCCCAGAATTCTGGTCTGGTTAATTTCAGTGTGATGGTGTGTGTATTGACTGTTAATACAGAATTCTGGTGATTAATTTCAGTGTGATTGTGTGTGTATTGACTGTTAATCCCAGACTTCTGGTCTGGTTAATTTCAGTGTGATGGTGTGTGTATTGACTACTTCTGGTCTGGTTAATTTCAGCTTAATGTGTGTGCGGATCCTATTGCAAACGGGTGCTGATCGCCTATGTGCAAATATGCCTGACTGTTTGTGTGCAAACGTGCGCTGACCATCTGTTTGCAAACATGTGCTGACCGCCTGTGCAACTAGGAATGCTGTTTACTGTGATATAGTGGCCATGCTGACTGCTCTGATGTCAACTTGACCACAAACTAGAGTCTACTGAAAGGAGGAACCCTTAGTTGAGAAAATGTCCCCATAAGATCCAGCTATAAACCCTTTTCTTAATTAGTGATCATGGGGGAGGGCCCAACCCTTTGTGAGTGGTGCTGTCCCTGGGCTGGTGGTCCTTGGTTCTATAAGAAAGCAGGCCTAGCAAGCCAGAAAGCAGCGCCCCTCCACAGTCTCTGCATCAGCTCCTGCCTGAAGAAACCCTTTCCTCCCCGGCATGCTTTTTGATCATGGTGTCTCGGCACAGCAACAGATAGAAACTGTAACTAAGGTAGTGATAGAATGAAAAATAAAACAGCACATTATTTTCGTGTCTTGACTCCTGAGATGCATCTGGGTTTTTTGCTGTTGTTTTGTTTTTGGGTTTTGGTGCTTGTTTTTTTTTTTCAGATCAGAAATAGCATGAAGAGCAGGGATAAATACAATCTTGAGAGATGTCGCCACCTAGTGGAAAGAGCGGTGTAACCCCACTCATGTCAATGGAGGAGTAGAGCATGCTATACTGAGCTGTATTTCCCAGGCCTTTTTTTTTCTGTTTTTTGTTTTATGACAAGGTCTCACTGAGTTTCCTAGGCTCTACTTGAACTGGCTATGTAATCCAGCAGGACTTTTGAATTTGGGATTCTACCTCAACCTCCTGAGATTACAATGTGTCCAGCCCAAGTAATGTCTGAATGGCCCACTCAGGCTCCGAAGCAAGTGGAATTACAGTCAGACTTCCCATTTAAAGCTCAGAGATTCGGTAAAATCAAGCATAGGAGGGGGCAGAGAATGAGAAGGTGTGAAGACTGTGAACTGTAGCTACATACCGTAATGGTCTTGAGCGTGGCCGTGTCATGATCAGAGTTCTGGAACGTTTTACAGAATTATGATTACGAAGAACACAGCCATTGCAAAGTGTGCCCTGGGAAGAGTCTCAGAAATGCCCCAGAGTGTCTGGACAAGGCTCTGTGCTAACCGAGCTTTCCTCCTCCAGTTAAAAATGACGTTTTACCAGTGTTCTAGCAAGTACATGCATCCCTTGGGCTTAATGGTGGGCTGGCACAGACCTTTTCAGCAGAGGCAGCTGTATTTAAAGAATTTTGTGGTCAACGTGAGACTAGTGAATTGGTTAATGGTGTTTAGTTAGCTTTTAACCAGAGCTGACATGAATGGTACGTAGACTTTCAGAAATAAACCCCCAAAATTCATTATGGAGCCATTGTGTCTTAAGGAGAACCTACACATTACATCAGGTGATAAGTTCGATGTCTGAAAACTATTTTTGTTTTGTTTTGCTTGTTTTTGAGATAGGCTCTTGCTATGTGACCCTAGCTGGCCTCAACCTGTATGGGCCACAGATTGGTTCTGTGCTCCCAGAGTAGTAGGGGATCCAGAAATGTTAAACACACAGGGTTGTTGCTTCAAAGACAGAGATATATAACCTGATTTCCTCCCAGAAGTCTGAGAATGGATGTAGTTTATAGCTTGGTGACCTCTGTTCTATCTGCATGAATGAGACCACATCAGATCTTAAGATGTCATATGCACTCCATCTATAGAACCCATCTTTATGGAAGAGGTCACATGTAGTTTACGGAGTTATAAAGTTTCGAGGTAGCCACCCCTTAAGTTTTATTGTGCTCATGGTATTGAGTTAATTATCACCAGGAAACTTTTTCCCAAATTTGCTTTATTTAACTATGCCTAAAATAACCTGTCTGGTGTCAGACTCTTGGCGTTTGAACCAACAACAGCTTTTGAGTTGTGTTGAATGAGACTTCTTTCTTGCCTCACATAGTTTGACACTCTGCTGACCTTTTGTGGTCACAGAGACGATCTCCCCCAATCAAACTCCGAGTCCTCCTGCATCAGCCTCCCCTGGGATTATGGGTGTCCACCCATCATGGTTGGTGTCCTAGTTTGCTTTTCTGTTGCTGTTATGAAACATGACCCAAAGCAACACGATAGGGGGCTTATTTGGCTTACACATCCTGGCTCCAGTCCCTGTCCAGGGGAGTCAGGGTGCAGATCTGGGGAGGAAATGAAGCAGAAGTCCCAGATCACAAGGCTGTCTCACTCCCTCTGAATGGTACTCAACCTGCTTTCAGAACAACTGCCCAGAGTGGCGGCACCCACCGTGTGCTGGGCTGCTCACATGCATCACCAAGCATGAAATGCCCCGCACATGTGCTCACAGGCCGATCTGATGGAGGCCGTCCCCCAACTGAGACTCCCTCAGATAACTCTGGGCCGAGCTACGTTAACAGCTGAACCTAACCAGGAGAGCCAGCTTGAACGTCTTTTAAGCACTTTTGTTAGTACCAAGTTACTAACTCTGCCTATTTAACGAGAAAATAAATGATTTATTTTTATGTTCTACATTTAATTTCTTACCTATTTCTGGTTTGTAAAAATGCTAATTTTTCTCCATAAATGTTGAGTGGCCTTTAAAATGTGATGCCATCCTAAAATGACACCACTTTTGTCTCGGCAGATACAGGCTAGTTCCACAGGTCCACTTTCCCGAGCAAATTTACGATGTCATCCGTGCCACAAGATACTTCCTGCAGCCAGAAGTCTTAGACAAGTACAAAGTAGACCCTGGCAGAGTCGCTGTCTCTGGAGACAGCGCTGGTGGGAATTTGGCAGCTGCCCTTGGACAGCAGGTAACAGCGCTGCCGCAGGGTGCTTGAGCTTGCAAGGTTGGGGGAGGGGCATGCTCTGCAACTCTCGCTTTCCTCACATGTACAACCAAGCTGCTCACCCTGTGGCTAGCACCCTCATTTGGTTGATTGCCCTGGGAGCAGTGGGCACTGAGGAGTGTCCAATAGCCCTACCTACCTGGTACTGTCTGACTTGCAAAATGGGAAATTTTGGCTTAAATTTCTGTTGCTATAGTTGTTTTCTAAGAGTTTTAAGAGAAATTAAAATACTAAGCTGTTTTCCAAAGTTTTATTATTATTTTGTGTTTTTGTTTTTGGGAATAGGATATTATGTAGCCCAGTGAGTGTCCAATTTTCTATGTATTTTCTCTTGCCTCCACGACCCCCCAAATGTTAAGATCACAGGCCTGTAGCACCACTCCCAATTTATATTACTCATGTTTTTGAGACAGTGTCTTGCTATGCAGCCCAGACTGGCCTAGAACTTGTGCTCCTGTTGCCTTAGCCATCTGGAGTGCTGGGGTTGGGGGTTCATACCACCATGCCTGACTCATAGGCCTCAAACACAGACAGGATTCCGGCTCCACCTTGGAGAGCTACAAGCCCATGCCTGGGTCCCTTTGTTCTGTGTGAAGACAATGTCCTCTAACTGCAGGAGTGTTGCAGGACTTTGTGAGACGCATACACACAGTGCTTACACACATCTTACTAGGAGATGGGGCTCTAAGCAAAATGAGGGTTGCTCAGTTACCCTGATGCCGTCCATTTTCTTTTGAGACACGTGGCATCTGCCTGCAGACTTTTAAATGCTGGAATTACAAAAAGGGGCAATGTGGTCACCCTGTGGAGAAGCACAGGTGAGCTGAGCTTGCTGGCAAGGGAAGTTATATCCCTTCCACTTCAGGCTCACTCTGGGCATGCGCTCATTGCTTGCCTGTATGAACTCACTGTCCCAGGGAAGAGACTGACAGCTTGTCACGGAGTCCCACCACCCTGTCTGTATTCACTCTCTATCCTCTAAAAGAGGAAGATTTGAGATTTTTTTTCCTACTCCAGAAGCCATTGCCATTTGTCGTCTTACAGGGATTAAAAAGTTAAATAAGACCCACAATTTATTCACACATAATATGTAATGAGGTAAGTATTAAAAGATAGAGAGAAACAAGCGGAGTGTCATTGGGGGTTTAGAGGCCTCAGGGGTCACGTGACAGTGAATGCACTCAAAACCGTGAGTCACAAACAGCAGACATTCCTTAGGAATTGCCCAGCAGCTTAGAAGGGCGTGGTGATAAGGAATGCTTTCTTTGGTTCTAAAACACCCCGATCATTTATTTAAAACATTCTGTAAGCTGCTTTCTATAAAAAGATCCATGCAAATGACATAATACGTTTCTTCTATTCTAGTTTACTTACATTGCCAGCCTGAAAAATAAGCTCAAACTGCAGGCTTTAATCTACCCAGTTCTCCAAGCTTTGGATTTCAACACGCCCTCTTATCAGCAGAACGCGAACACTCCCATCCTGCCACGCCACGTCATGGTGAAGTACTGGGTAGATTACTTCCAAGGCAACTATGACTTCGTGCAGGCCATGATTGTGAACAATCACACTTCCCTTGATGTGGAGAAGGCCGCAGCTCTCAGGGCCCGTCTCAACTGGACATCCCTGTTGCCCCCATCCATCAAAAAGAGCTACAAGCCTGTCATGCAGACCACGGGTGATGCCAGGATCACCCAGGAGATCCCTCAACTGCTGGATGCAGCTTCCTCCCCGCTCATCGCAGACGAGGAAGTGCTTCAGGACCTCCCAAAGACCTACATCCTCACCTGTGAGCATGATGTCCTGCGGGATGACGGGATCCTGTACGCCAAGCGCCTGGAGAGTGCAGGTGTGAACGTGACCTTGGACCACTTTGAGGATGGCTTCCATGGTTGTATGATTTTCACAAGCTGGCCGACCAACTTCTCTGTGGGAATCCGGACTAGGAATAGTTACATCAAATGGCTGGATCAAAACCTGTGATGGAGTAAAACGCCTTGGAAGCGCGAAGCTCTTGGCCTCCTCTGTTTGCTTTTCAATCATTGGCACTTTTCCTAGTTTCTCACGAGTACTGGAATGTGCATCCTGCAGACCTTATAATAATCTACATTTTAAAAGTGACTCACTGACAAGTTTAAGAGATTCTGGGCCATTTTCTCTATTTTTTATTGTAGCTCACGTGGTACGAATGGTCACAATTTGAGGAGCTAGAAATAGCCCAGGTCCGGCCTCTATTGTGTCCTTTCCACAAGAACTTTTTCTGGCTATGGGTGAGGTAATAACTTCCGAGGAACTAAAAAGAATGAGAGCTTTTCTTCAGTTCCTCAGGTTGAAGTGGGGTGCAGAGCAGGGTCCAGGGGACACTCTGAGGCCAGCACTGGGGTCTGTGCGTCCTCTGCCTCAGACAATGGTTGTGTTTCCTGTGGGAATTTTGACAGGGTTTCTAGCAGGCCATACTTCTTTTCAAAAGCTTTTCTTCTCCCAGAGTGTTAATTTATGAGCAGGATGCTGTACATTCAGTGGGGGCTAAGGGCTACTGGGAAGTTACTTTCTAATCTTATTCTGAGAAAACAAGAGGCTGCATGTACTGAATATTTCCCTGAGAAAATCTTTTGGATTTATTTAATTGTAGAGTAAGTTACTTATTATGAAATAAGTCAAGATAGACAAACAAAACAGCCTATTGTTACTTAGGCACACTCCTGGCATAAATTACTAAGAGTGGTATGTATATATTTGTAATAGTGAGGAAATAAACCCTGCTTAATAAGACCTTAAAATTATGAGAAGTACCTTTAAAAGGGCTAGTCCATTTTTGGAAGAAGGGCTAGTCCATTCTTGAAAACCCAACTTTTTCACTTGTATGTAGCTGAAAATTAGAGAATTTTGGTATAGTGTATTGTTGATTTTTTAAGTTATTTAATGTTAATATATAGCTAAACATGTTTTTTCTGAAAGATATCTATTATAAAAAATTTAAGATAAAAGGCATTTTAAAAGGAAAACTACCATAGAGTTATATCCATGTGTAATTTTGTGAATAGCTAGATAAATTATAGCAGTAAGAATCAAATACTTTGATATTTATATGCATATGTAAATTACAGTAACTAGAAACATTTTTACTAGTACAGACATCCAGATAATGCTGGCTGATCATTCTAATCCAAAATCTGAACTATCCCAAAACCCAGATGGCACAAGTAGAAAATTCCAGACCATAGAAGTTTATTTTATGCATAAAATTATTAAACCTGTTGTGTGAAGTTACCCTCAGGCTATGTAAATAAGGTGTATAAAAAGCACAAATGTATGTCTTAATTAGACTTGGGTCCCATTCTCAAAAGATTTTGTTATATATATGCAAATATCCCAAAGTCTAGGAAAATTCAAACTCTGAAACACTCTTTCCCCAAGCTTTTCAGGCGAGGGATACCCAACCTGTAATTTAAAGATACATATACTCACCTCTGCCCATGATGGCCAGGAGAGTCCTCATGGGAATCCCTGTGTGTGAAGGGTAGACACCAGCACTGCCCACTCCCCCGAGTTTCTCCGTGTAGGTCTAGACGTTCCTACTGCCCAGTCTTACCTTCATAAATGGTCTTCACTGCCAGTGTGGGCATCTTGGGCATAGGAAGGGATTCCAGATTTGAGTTGAACACCCTGCCCTCCTTCCTGTCACCCAGCTTCTGCCCACGATCCATGCTACAGTTAGGGACTGTCCAGAGGGCATTCAAATGAGTCATGACACAGTAAGCCATGAAAGGAGAGCAGAGCTTTTCCACTCTTTGAAGCATGGGTGCTTCCTTTTTCCAGCAACGAGAACAAGTGGAAAGTTTCACTCTGGCTTCCATTTATTGTTAAAGCTACTAGCATCTTTATATGTAAAACAAATGTAGCAGTGTGTGTGTTTGTGTGTGCTGTTGCGTATGAAAATAGTCTTATAGATGACCTTGCTGATTTGCTCAGTCACTGTCTCTGGTCTCCCTCTTGTCTAAAATTTGAGAGCAGAATTGAGATCGCTTCTAACATCAGTCTTTTCTATGGTGATTTTTGATAGGTCATAATTCTGAATACACCAACATAGCCATCTCTAAGCACTGATTTTGCTTGTAAATAGATTTTTAAAAATTGGCCACACAACATCAGTGCCTCCCTCCACAGGGTTACCATTGCTCATATTTAGGATAGAAATTGATGCCCATCTTCAACTGAGGTAATGGGGGGGGTGGAAATCACCGGGCATTTTTAAAACCTGAAATTTTAGTTCTTATTTGAATGCCAACCATCTTGTCAAGGTGCTGGGAATGGAACCCAGGGCCTTACATGCTTGGCAAGTGCTTGATCCTGAGCTACATCTGGAACCTCATTACTGTTTTCTTCTACGACATTTAAAGGCATGAAATATATTTCAACTTTACCTCTAAGAAAAAGGAAAGTTAATATATTCACAAAGTTCCTTAAAATGGTACTTTCTTCCCAAACTATGAGCCAAAGTCGGTAGAAATCACACAATGTTGTCCACAGATGCCTGAAGAGCTCTCGAGGATGAAGGGGGAATGAAGGGGACAAAGGGGCCACACACTGTATCTGACAGAATACTTGGGGTTTTATTCTTACAGGGATGCTGTGCCCCATAGTCTTTTCAGTATAAGGTAGTTTGCTTTCCTTTCCCTGTTTGATGAAAAGGTTGCACTTTGGAATACTAGAATCTTTGAAATCAGAGCATTAACAAATGAAGGACAATAATGAGATGCTGCAAAGTGTCATGAAGATTCATCTTGTGTTTTCACAGTCATTTGTGAGGACTCGAAGACTTACATAATGATTGTGAATGGAATGTTTTGTGTAAGACATTTTAACCTTTGACTTTGTGCCGATTTCCCACTGCACAGGGGAAGACTGATTTTATGAAGAGTTTTAGGAACAATTGTATTTTATGGAATGAAAATCCAGTATAGTACTGGGAAAGTTTGTTTGGCATCTTGTTTGGGAATAAACCGGGTACATCTGGAAGCACACCTCTGTCTCTTGTTCTGCCTACACTTCTGGTTCCAACTGGATTCACTGACCCCTTTCTTTGTATCCAGGTCCAACCCCCAAGTTCTGTCCCCCTAGATCGACTCCAGCTGTCTTTGTGTCACAGACAGGTGGTTCTGTGACATCCTTGATGCCACTAATTTCCTGTTCTGATGCACTGTATTTTCCATTGTCCAAGTGAAGCCTGCCGCATGTCTATCCTAAGTGCTGACATTAGAAAAGATGAGTGTGGGCTTGAACCATCTCAGCCAGAGAAGTCTTAGTAATGAAAACAAGTTCTCAAGCCGACTCTGTTATCCCATTTCAGACTTGAATATTAGCTTAGTTCATATCAATATTGACTTAGTCACTATTCTGTTGCTGTAAAGAGACACCATGACCAGGGCAACTGTTACAAGACAAAGTATTTAACTGGGGACGTGCTTACAGTGTCAGAGCTTAGTGCATTATCATCATGCCAGGAAGTACCACATTCCACTCCTTGGTCCCCATAGGCTTGTAGCCGTATCCTAATATGAAAATGCATTCAGTCCAACTTCAGGAGTCCCTATTCCTAGAACAAACAGCATGGTCAGGGCTGTCACAGCAATACCCCACTTCTGGTACCAACTTCTGTGATAGACACCATTCTATTGTTGTGAGGAGACACCGTAACCAAGGTAACTATTGTAAAACAAAGTTTTTAACTGGGTGCTTGCTTACAGTTTCAGAAGTTTAGTTCATTATTGTCATGATGGGAAGCATGGCTTCATGTAGGCAGGTACGGGAACAGAGGCTGAGAGGTATATTTTGATCCACAGACAGAGAGAGACTCTGGGTTTGGCATGGGCTTTTAAAACCTCCAGACCCACTCCCAGTGACACATTTCCTCCAACAAGGTCACACCTCTTAATCCTTCTAATCCTTTCAAATAGTGCCATTCTCTGGTGACAAAATCCCTGAGCCTATGGGGACCATTCTTATTCAAACAACAACAAATACAGGAATTTGGAAAGCTTTTCTCCTGACTAAATTGTTCATATTGGTGTCATATGGTCACATTCCACTTAACACATGCCTGTACAGGGGTAAGGCAGGAAGACCCTGGCACACACACAGAGGTCCAGGCAAGTGTGCAAATTGGGCTTTCTGGTTAATTAATGGCTATTTCATCCTCTCCTATAAAACCTCTGGTGTGGTGTGCTTTTTGGAGACAGCAGAGGGGGACTGTGGATACTGGGGAGCTGAGAGAGTGCCGGCAGGTCTGACTGCACACAAAGCTCCACTCCACATAGAGCCATGAAGCTAGCACGGTGGGATCTGCCTGTGTTTGCAGCACTTGGAGATCCAGGCAGGATGACCAGAAATTCAATAGCATCTTTAACTATACATAGGGAGTTTGAAGCCAGCCTGAGGCACATTAGGCCCTATCTCAAAAGGAATCAGAATCACAACACCAACAAAATTAAGATCCATCAGTAGTTCTAAACAATTTCCTTTGGGACTTTTTACTTACTTATTTATTATGTATACAATGTTCTGCCTGCATGTATCCCTACGTACCAGAAGAGGACACCAGCTCTCGTTATAGATGGTTGTGAGCCACCATGTGGTTCTGAGAATTGAACTCAGGACCTCTGAAAGAACAGCCAGTGTTCTTAACCGCTGAGCGATCTCTCCAGTCCTCCTTTGTAAATGTTAAATACAATCTTAAACTTTTAAAAACAAGTGAGGTTTTTTGTTTTGTTTTTAATTGCTGGGCCTGTACATGTTTTGTGAATCTCTACCACTGAACTGTCTCTCAAACCTTCTGATTTATTGTTTTAAATTTTATTTCTTTTTTACGTCTTAAGATCTTACTCATTTTGTGTGTTTCCGGTCTCCATTATGCCATGAAGCATATGTGAAGATCAGAGGATGACCTTTGGAAATCAGTTCTCTCTGTCCCCAAACTTGGGTCATCAGGCTCGGCGACAGATACCCTTTACCCACTGAGACATCTTGCCGGCCCCTAATACTGTTTTCATTCTTTTTTATGACCGCTCCCCGCCTCCTTAGCAGTACCTTAGGTTTTCTGATGGAGCCACTATTTAGTCATCTAACGTTATGAATAATACGCCTGGAACCTCGGGCGACGAGGCAGAGGGACAAACATGCCAGGCAGACAGAGCTTAAGTGAGAAGTTTTATTAGATAGGGAGGGAAGGAAAAGGAAAGAAAAAAGAGGTAAAGAGACACAGAGACAGAGAGAGGGGGCAGAAGAGAAGAGGGACACAGGAAAAGTCTGCTCCAGGGAAAGAGAGCAGGAGGTGGGAGGAGGTCTTTCTTTTAGAGGGGCCCTTTGCACCTGAGCTAACCAGGGTACTGCCTGAGTGCATTCTGCCAGGTGACAGGGGCAGGCCAGTATAATGCCTGAATCTTCACATCTAAGTTATTGCTTTTAATATCAGACTACCTAGTTCCAAAGATTGAAAATGTAATTTTTAGTAAATGTCCATGGCACATTCAGTCATGTCGCTCAACACATAATTTTGTCTCATTGGACAGTGAGAGAGGGCTGGTGCCATCCGCGGCCTATTTGGGTGTTTTAAGTGGGGGGCTCACTGTGAACACTTCGGGTGAAGCTTTTCCTTCTCCTCAACCAAGTTCCCTCTCATCCCTACCTTCAGCTCGGGCCTTTTCGTTTCAGGCTTGCGTTTCCTATTGTTTTCTCTCTCGCTGTCTGTCTGAAGTCAAGCTGCTCATTTGCACGCTCGCGTTCGGTTTTCCCTGCGTAGGTTCTGTGTGAGCGGGGGCCTTGCCTGTCGTTTCTATTTCATAGATGCTCGGAACGCATAGCAGACTTTGCTGTTTGAAAGAGGTCTCATGAGTCCAGGCTGGCCTCAGTCTTGTTGTGTAGCAGAGGATGACCTTGAATTTCTTGGTCCTTCCTCCATCCACCTCCCAAGTGCTGGGATTACAGTTGTGTGTCGTCACACCCAATTTAACACAACAGACTTTCCAAAACAAATGTTTGCCATAAATAAATCCTCCCCAAGGAAAGTCCACCCTGCAAGCATTGTATTACTAGTCTCTGTGTTTCTCTTAGAAGTAGCACGCTAGTATCAAACGCAGTTAAGGTGATGTGAGGTCAGATGAAGAAGGTCATCCTTGACCACACAGCAAGTGCAAAGCCAGGACCTGTTTCAGAAAAAGAAGAAGAGACTTACCTACAGAACCAAACTATTTTATAGAACATACAAATGCTGACATTTGTGTGTTGAAAACAACCCAGCCTTTTCCTCTTCACAGTACTGGGTCAGTCTGAGGGCCTCGGGCATCCTAGTTGAGTACCAGTCTTCGGAGCTGCTCCCCAGCCCCTCAGAGCATGAATCTTGTGGTCTGGGAATGCGCTGACGGTGTTCCTTGAAAAGACTTAATGAGCATGAGGGATGTAAGCTCAGGCTTTGCGATAGGTCTTCCACCACACAAGGCTCAGATTCGTGCGCTCACCTCCTACGGGGTCAGCCTGTCTCCACGGTGTTGCGCTGCTCCATTTAATATCCCTGCTTCACTTGTTTTACACAGTCCTGCTTCGACTGTTACAACTTCCCCTCTTACCCAGATCTGAATTTGTAACATTTTCTTTTGAAAAAAGAAAGGTTTTGGTGATGGATGATGGCACACGTTTTCAATCCCGGCACTCAGGAGGAAGAGACAGGTGGATCTCCGTGAATTCAAGGCCAAACCTGGTCTACACAACAAGTTCCAGACTAACCAGGACTAACATGGTGAGATGACACCTTGTCTCAAAACAAAATGTGGGTCACAGGTATAGAACTGAGGTCAACAAGTTTGGCATCAAGATGCATGTTGCTGCTCCCTCCCATTTAAAAGTTAATTATTTAAAAATTTTAGCAGGGCAGTAGTGGCACACACTGGAGGTGGGTGGATCTCTGTGAGGTTTTGGCCAGCCTGCTCTACAGAGCAAGTGCCAGGACAGGCCCCAAAGATACAGAGAAAGCCTGGCTTGAAAAAAAACAAACAAAAAAGGTTTGATAAGTAAACTTGGGTGGTGATGGCACACGCCTTTAATCCCAGAGGCAGAGGAGGGCAGATCTCAGTGAGTTCAAGGCCAGCCTCGTCTACAGAATGAGTTCCATGATAGTCAAAGGCTACATAAAGGAACTCTGTCTTGAAGACCAAAACCAAAAATTTTAAAAATATGTGGTCTCAGGCTCATTGTGTAGATCACCCTGAACTTCTGGTCCCCCTGCCTCGACCTCCCAAGTGCTGGGATTACCTCTCCAGGCTTCTGCTGTACTGCAGCTTCCTGCCTGCTAGGCAAGTGCTCAGCCAACTGACCCATGTGCCTCTTCTCCCCGACTCTTGTTGTTTAAGACACGGTTTCACTTGGTGTCCCGTCCTAACTCATGCGCCTACTAAGTGCTGTAGTTGTAGGTATGTGGTATGTGTTATTATGTTTGGTTTATGAGACTTTTTGTCATAGATGTCCTCTTTCTACCCAATGCTCTAAATCTTATCCCGTGAAAAAAATACTGAAGCCTACGATAGAAGTTTAAAAAAATAAAATAAAACGAAATAAAAACATCTCCAGTAGGTGCCAGCAGAGGGCGCCCATGAAAGTCAGCGACATTAGCCACCCCACGGCACACTATTTTCCCTAAAATTGAAAAGAAAACATTTCCCAGTAGTTTTCCTTTACTTATAAAAGATGAATAAGAAACAATGTCATAGTCCGTCACAAAATAAATTAGGTGTGTTTTTGCAGTAGAGAAAAATTTTAAATTCTCCTGCGTACCTGAAAGAAAATGAGTTTTCCAAACAAACAAAAAGGACTCACACTAACCCTTTGTTGGAACATGACTCATCTCTCTGCTCATCAAAGGGTTTCATCTTTTCAAATTTTTTATTTCCATGTTTCTACTCAGGGTAGATACATTTGCTGTCCACTTGGAGGAAAATGGTGTTCTGTGTTTTGACAGCCTATTCTTTGCCGTGCT